TTGTGAACAGGCTCCCCCCAGGTCTAAACAGCTTTTGGCAGAAGCATTCAACAGATCAAAATATATGGTACATTTAGGATGTTGGTCCTCTTGGACATGCTGCCACTGTTAAGTGTCATCAAGTAGACAACTCATAGTGACTTTCAACAATCCATTGTATTGGTGATCATCTTCTCTGGCTGTGCAAGGAAATCCAAACCTGCAGGTGGTGGGTCGCACATACTGTGTGTGGGCAGCCAGCAGGTGCACGTTGTTCCCCCCCACCCCCCACACGGACGACCGGTGCACGTGCGCCATCTCCTGTGCAAAATCTCACACGCGAGTGGCCCGTGGGCACACGCCATCTCCTGCGCATCATCTCCCGCATCGGTGGCTGGCGGGCGCGCTTCATTTCACGTGCGGGAGTCCAGTGGCCGCCTGCTTCCCCTGCCGCCGCCATCTTGGCTCCAAGAATTCTCCCCAGAACAAGTCCACTTTGCGGCAGTGTGGTGGTTCTGCTGTACCAGTCTTGGGGAGGCCTGGTGCCTACCATCCATCTTGGGTGAGGGAATCCATAGGTTCCAGCTGTGGGAGCCTCATGGAGCTGCTGTGGCAGTGCTGCGTGGTGTGGCCTCTGCGGGAGGGGTTGGGAGCTTCGGGACTCACCCATTCCTCCTTGGGAATCCTTGAATTCCTGTTGTTGAGCCTCAATCTTCACTGAATACTGGTCATCAACTGTTTAACTATTCAATTAGCAATAAACAGAAGTCTGTATAAGGCCATAGTGGCCCTGTTCCAAGTGGTCTGCTGGTCCCGCAGCTCACCACTATGTCTCTGCCTCCGCCACCATCTTGGATCTTGCTAGTTAACACTTTAAAGAAGTTTGTTTTGCAGCCACTTTGTCTGATGCAGTAGATCCTTTGATTTCTTGACTGCTGTCTTCATGGACACTGATAGTGGATACAAATCAAATGAGATCCAGGGCAACTTCAATCTTTTCTCCATTTATCATAATGTTACTTACTGGTCCAGTTGTGAGGATTCTTGTTTTCTTGTAGTCAAGTGTAATCATTAATGAAGGCTACAGCCTTTGATCTTTAGCAGTAAATGCTTTGTTCAAATCATTTGCGTCATCTGTATTTTGCAGGTTATTAATCAGTCTTGCTTCAGTCTTAAATTCTGTGTTCTGTTTGCTCAGTTTGTGGATTGAATAAGTATGATTTAGAGAGACAAATCTGACATATACTTTTCCTGATTTTATTTATTTATTTATTTTTAAAATTTTAATATTTTGTGTGTGTGTACTATCAAATTGGATCTAACTGGTACAGGAGGAGATTGCCTCTCCTTCTCCAGCAGGGTATCTGGTGGATTTGAACCACGTGCCTTCAAGATTGCAGTGCAGTTTCTTGCCACTAGGTCACCAGAGCTCCCTACCTTTCTTGATTTTAAAACATGCAGTATACTACCCTTGTTCTGTTTATGACTGCTTCTCTGTATAAGTTTCATTTGTTGTTATGTGCTGTGGAGTCGCCTGTGACTCATAATGATCCTATGTGTAACAGCCCTAAACTCTGCCCTATCCTCTGCCAGTCTCACTATATCCAACACACCTTCTTCCCTCATTACCCCAGTCACCAAATCAATCCATCTCATCGAGGGTCTTTCTCTCCTGCACTGTTCCTCGACCCTCCCAAGCATGACGTCCCTCTCTAAGGGCTGGTCCCTTTTTGCAACATATACAAAGTATGTCAGACGAAGCTTCAGAATCCTTTTCTCCACGGAGCAGCCTGGCTTCACCCTCTCCAGGACAAACCTGTTTGTTTTCTTAGAAGTCCATGGTATATTCAATACTCTACTCCAGGACCACAGCTCAAAGGCATCAATTCTCCTTCTATCATCCCTAGTCATTGTACGGCTCTCTGATATATAGCAAGTGATTGCAAAGACCATGACATGTATCAGGCGCACCCTAGTCTCCAGACTGAATCGTTACACTTCAGCACTTTAGAGAGGTCTCTAAGCACAGACTTTCCCATCACAATACATCTTTAAATTTCTTTGCTCCTGGTGCCAAAAGTGTTGACTGTGGAGCCAAGCAAACCACAACTGTGAACAATCTCTTCACCATCCATTATGATGCTACCGATCAGCCCCGTGGTGAGAATCTTTGTCTTCATGATATTGAGCCTCAATCCATACTGAAGACTGCAGTCCCTGACCTTCCACAGCAAGCGCTTCAGGTCCTCCTCAGTTTCAGCAAGCAAGGTTGTGTTACCTGCATAACGCAGATTCTTGATACATCTTCCACCAATCCTGGTGCCACATTTCTCCTCATACAGTCCAGCCTCCTGGATAATCTGTTCTGCATACAGATTGAAAAGGTATGGAAACAGAATACAGCCCTGGCGTACACCCTTCCCAGTTTTGAACCATGCAGTGTTTTCTTGCTCTGCTCTGATGACTGCCTCCTGGTCCAAGTATAGGTTTCTCATTAACACAATCAAGTGTTTTGGGATTCCCATTCTTCTCAGAGTCAGCCACACTTTGTTATGATCCACATTGTCAAACGCCTTTGCATAATCAATGAAACAAAATAGACATTATTCTGGTACTCCCTGATTTCAGCCAAGATCCATCTAACATTAGCTACAATATCCTTAGTACCATGGCCCCGTCTAAACCCAACCTGCACTTCTGGTAGTTCTCTGTTAATGTGCTGTTCCAGTCATTTTTGTATAATAATCAGTAGAATCTTGCTTGCATGTGATAGTAATGATATTGTTCCGTAGTTTCCACTCTCTGTGGGATCACCTTTCTTTGGAATGGAAACAAATATCGATCTCTTCCAGTCAGTTGGCCAAGTGATTGTTCTGCAGATTTCTTGGCACAACTTGGTGAGCACATACATCTAGGGTGGCATCTGTTAGCTGAAATATGTCATTTGGTTTCAATTAGCACAATTAAATGTTTCACAATTCCTGTTGTTTGTTTGCAACAGTAGTAAAGAGCTAACACTGCCAACTCAAAGGCCCTTGGGTGTGAATTCACCAGGTACTCCAAGGGTGAAAGATGGTGAGTCTCCTCCTGTGCAATCTGTAGCCTAAAAACCCTCTGGAGGGTCAGCTATGAGTCAGTTCTGATTCGAAGGCACATCACAACGATGCAGTCATATATTTTTATTAGAAGCTTAAGTGACTCGGAGTTTCCAGAAACCATTTATAGAGTACTGAAAAAGCAATTGTGTTAATGCCAGATAAGTGCTCCAGGTATAGGAGTGGTGAGCCAGTGATCCTGCTGGGCCAGGGAGGTACAACAAACACCTGCTTTCCAGCCACTAAGTCAGAGAAATTTGTAGCTGGGAAAATATGTGGCAACATTGATTTCCTTTAATGACCTCTTGTTCGCTGCCCAAACTCGGAGCAAGTGTTTTTCAAGGTATTAACAGTCATGCATAGCCACAACCTCACACAATATGCAGGTGAGTGGAAAGGGCCAGCTTGAGTTCCCTCAGAGCTACCTTGGAAGAAAAACCTGGCAATGGAATTAGAAAACTCTGTTCCTGGAAGCACTGTGGGATGTAGGTCTACTTGATACTGTGCAGTCACCATGAATCACAGTCCTTTTTATGGCAGCTGACTGGGTGCAGCTTTTGGTTATTTAATTTTCTTCTCTTTTAACATCCTGGAAGCAGATTTAATATTACTGTAGGTGTTTAGCCAATGTGGCTTTCTTTGGTTTCTAATGGTGTCTACATGTTTGTGTGTTTTGTTTATTTGCTCTTTCTTAGTAATCCCCTCTCCACCGAGTGAAGTCCTTGTCAACATCAGCACTGCCCACAGTATCCTGATCTCCTGGGTCCCTGGTTTTGATGGATACTCTCCCTTTCAGAACTGCAGCGTTCAGGTAAACTTCAGAGGTAAAGGGGGGAGAAGTTTGGGGCTTTATGTGTTTACTTTGTCCTATGTCTTCATGAAAAGACTTAGGATGATTGTTGCTTTCCACGGGAGAAAATATGAGGCTTCTGGGAGAGCCTCAGACGGTGCCCCTTGTACATGGGCAGTGCCATGTGGCATTCTTTCCTCTCTGTCCACTGCTTCGAGCTCCCCATACATCACCTGTTTCATGTTAAGTTGTTCTAGGATGTTACTGCCTTCTTAGGCATGGTCCACATGTAAATCCAGAAAAGAAACATGTTTCTGAGAGAGAGTGCTGAGAAGGAGAATGAATTTTTGAGGTCTAAAAACACTTAACTAAATTAGTCATCTTACTTGGATCCACAGTCAGCACCCTTGGTACCAGCAGTCAACAGATCAGGAGATGTATTGGATTGGGAAAATCTGTTGTCAGGGATCCCTCCACATTACTGAGGAGCAATACTGAGGTGCAATGATGTCAGTTTAAAGTCTAAGATGCACCTGATTCAGGCCATGGTTTTTTCAATCACTTGCTATGCATCTGAGATCTGTACAATCAATAAGAATGCCTTTGCACTGTGTGCTGGGGAAGAGCACTGACTATCATGTGGACTGCCAAAAGAACACACATACATTCTGGAAAAAGTGCAGCCAGAATGTTCCTTGGAGGCAAAGATGAGGAACCTTTGTCTCTCTCTTCCTTGAAAAGGGATGTCATGCTTGGAAAGGTGGATGTTCGGCAAAGGAGAGGAAGACTCACAGCAGGATGGACTGACACAGTGATTGCAGCATTTGGCTCCAAAGTGTGTGAAATGATGAAGATGGCCTCGGGTAGGATTCACATCTGTTGTTCATAGGGCCGCTGTGAGTTGTACTTATCTCAAGGGCACCTAACAACAATGACAAATTAGGGGCTTTACATCCTCCACTATGGATTGTACTTCAATATACAGAAAATGAGGATCCTCACAACTGAACTAATAAACAGCACTGTGATAAATAATGAAGAAATTGTCAGCAATTTCATTCTACATGCATCAGTAAGCAATAATCAGTAAGAGTGCCTGTGGAAGTAGCTGTTGAGAACTTAAATAATGTGTTTTGTTGAGCAAAAATGTCATTTTGAAGGCTTAAATGGACCTGAGTCAAGCCATAGTCTTCTCAGTCATCTTATGCATGCAAAAGTGAAAAAGAATACCAAGTAGGAATTGATGCTTTTAGATTGTGATATTGGGACAAAATATTGACTTTATTATGGGCTGCTAAAAAAAACAAACAAATTGGCCTTGGAAGTTGTGTAAACCGGAATTTTTCTTAGCAGTGAAGATGACAAGATATTTTCTTACTTATTTTGGATACATAATCAGGAGGGATCAGTTGTTATCAAAGGACATCATGCTTGGTGGTTGTGGTAGTTGTTAGTTGCTGCATTCAGGACAACTCATAGTAACCTGTGAATATGAATCTGAACCTTGTTCTGCCCTGCACTATCCTCATCATCTTTGACATACTTGAACCCATTGCTGCAGTTATTCTATCAGTCCATCTTATTGAGGGTCCTTCTCTCCTTTGTTGACTCTCCACCTTTCCAAGCATGAAGTCCTTTTCCACAGAATAGCCTTTCCTAACAACATGACCAAAGTATGGAGGCAAAACTTCTCCATTCTTGTCTCCAAGGAGCACTCTGGCCACATTTTTTCCAAGACATACCTATTTGTTCTTTTAGGTGTCCATGGATATTCAGTACTCTTTTCCAATACTGCAATGCAAAGGCATCAATTCTTCTTCTGTCGCTGTGTTAATTTTCCAGCTCTCAGATGTATAGCAAGTGATTGAAAAGACCACGGTCTGAGTTAAGCACACCTCAGACCTAATTGTTCCTCAGTAATTTGGACAAGTCATTGACAGCACATTTCCCTGATCTCCTGCTTGCTGATTATAGGGTTGTTATAAAAGCTCATTGAGGTGGCTTGACATGGTGGTTGCTCAAACATACCAGTCATTGTGAAGGTGGTGCATGGCCAGGCATGCTTTGTTCTGTTGTACATGAGGTCATTCCGAGTTGATGCCTGTTAGATAGCAACTAAACTTTTAAAACAAAAGTCATATTAAGGGATTAATAGACATTGACTGAAGTTTATTTAATATATAATTTGTCATTCAGAGCCCCATTTCTGACTGTTGTTGTTATGTGTGGTTGAGTCGACTGTGAATCATAGCGATCCTATGCACAATAGCTCTGAGCTGTGCCCTCTCCTGAGTCTATCTCACTGTCTACAATACACCTACCCCCATTAGCATAGCATCTGGGCTCTTTTTCTCCTCCTCTGTTCTTCCACCCTTCTGAGTGTGATATCCTTCTCCAAGGACTGGTCTCTTCTGGCCATGTGCCCGAAGTATGTGATGGAGTTTCAAAATCCTTAACTCCAAGGGGCAGGTTTGTTTCACCCTCTTCAGGTGTCCTGTTTGTTTTCTTGGCAGTCAGTGGTATATTCAAGATTCGTCTCTAATACCATAACTCAAAGGTATCAATTCTTCTGTCATCCTTAGTCATTATGTAGCTCTCAGATGCATAGCAAGTAATTGCGAAGACCATGGCATGCTCTGGAGAGGTCCTTGGCCACAAATTTTTCTCAGTGCAATTAATTTTTTGATTTCTTGACTGCTGGTGCCATGAATTTTTAATTGGAACTGAGCAAGCTGTAATTGTGAACAATCTCGAACTCTTCTCCACCCATCATGGTGCTGCCAATTGGCCGAATGATGAGAATCTTTGTTTTCTTGATATTGAGCTTCAGTTCATATTAAATCCATATTCAATCCACATTTCTGACTAGATAGTTAAAAGTGTTCCAAATGAGACAGGACTTTCACAAATTTTTATATTCTAGCTTGTTGTTGTCATAGCTGTCGAGTCGCTTGCGACTCATAGCGACCCTAAACACTGCTCTATCCTGTGCCAACCTCACCAGCTCCAAAACACTCATTCCCGCCACTTCAATCACAGAATCGATCCATCTCATCGATGGTCTTCCTCTTCTGCACTGTCCCTCCACTCTCCCAAACATGATGTCCTTCTCCAAGGACCAGTCCCTCCTTGCAACATGCCCAAAGTCTGTCAGACTTCAGAATCCTTGACTCCAAGGAACATTCCAGCTTCACGCTCTCTAGGACAAACCTGTTTGTTCTCCTAGCAGTCCATGGTATATTAAGCATTCTCCAGCACCACAGCTCAAAGGCATCAATTCTCTTTCTGTCATCCCTATTCACTGTCCAACTTTCCAATGCATAGCACGTAATTGCGAAGACTATAGCCCGGATCAGGCACACTTTAGTCTCCAGCCTGACGTCATTGCTTTTCAGTACTCTGGAGAGTTCCCTAACAGCCGATTTTCCCAATGCAATTCATCTCTTGATTTCCTAGCTGCTGTTACCAAGAGTGTTGACTATGGAGCCAAGTAAACGAAAACTGTTAACTATCTCAATCTCTTCACCATCCATACTGATGCTGCCAATTGGCCCTGTGGTGAGAATTTTTGTTTTCTTGATATTGAGCCCCAATCCGTATTGAAAGCTGCAGTCCTTGACCTTCTGCAGCAAGCGCTTCAGGTCCTCCTCAGTTTCAGCAAGCAGGGTTGTGTCATCTGCATAACGCAGGTTGTTG